AACAGAGTTGACAGGGTCTTGCCATTACAGTCGGTAACGGCACGGATTTCATGAGTCCTGAAACCTGCTGCCCAGGCTTGATAAATGCAAAGCTCTATTGAGCCAACTACAGATGCATTAAAAAAAAGCCCAATAATAAGAGCACAACTGAAGCCAAGAATATTTCCATTTGTTCAAAGGCTTCCAAACATTTTATATTCCATAAGATCGCAGGCAGAGTCAAGGCATTACATTTCAAGTCAAGGTCAGAATATTCAGCTGTGACTTTGAGTGTATGGGTTGGAATCCAACACAGTATTTTCACATTACTTGAGTTTAGACTTTCTTTGTGTCTTTATGTTCCTCTTCAAAAGAAAGGAAATCCCTGATACCAAGACAAGTAAGCTGTGTTCTGAGCCAATAAATCCTCGGGGAATCTGAAGCAGGTAGATTGTAAGAGGCCCTTTCAGGAGTCTGAAAAGCAGTGGGTGACATTAGAAGGATCTTAACGAGAGTTGCAGGTGCTCAGCTTTTAGGACGAGGTCATTTCCCGTGTGCTGGCACGATGACAAAGATGGAAGATTGAACGGTTCTTCTAATTCACAGCTCAGTAATACGTGCTGCTTAACCGGAGACGGCTGAAAAGATGCCTTTGGAATGCGCTGGGTGCCCCAACGCATCCTAAACACTGCAGCCAAGTCTCAGCATCATTAAAATAGTAGATGCAAACAAGGGTCGCACCAGTGGAATGCCGAGATGCCGCTCAGCCTTCCAGGAAAGCACAATTTTGGCAACATGAGGCCTAAAACAACCTCTAAAATCACCTAAACGTCCCTGTTTGTCTCTTGATCACTGTTTGCCATCACAGCTAGATGATTCGACATAAATTCCTTTCAATAAACACGCAAATGAGAGCAAGTATTTACATTTCAAATGGATCGCCGTTAAGGTTTCAAGCTGTCAATAGGACCGGCACAGGAAAATGTTATTATTAGACCTAAAAGTCTGCGAGGAAATGGGTGAGAAGAAAGGCTAGTATCAGGGGACCTGTCATCTGTTCCTAGCCAGCTTCTCATTCTGCTTAGCAAACGTGAGTGATTTTGAGTGTTGAATGAAGAACCTGCACCACGCTTTTTTTAAGCTACAGCTGGCTGGAACGCTCTATGCCTGAAGGCAACATTTTGGAGTTCAAAGGTAAACGTTTGGCTTTTTATAGGGAAAATTAGTTGTACAGTGCGTTTGATTTAGTATACTGCTCCCCAGCCCAGCTTCTGATTGAAATGTATTAGAAAATAACCCCATTTCCACTGACAGCGTGCAGTTTCCTAGAGAGGCACACGCTTGCTAGTAAACATCAGTCCTCTGGGCCAGGTCCAGAAGACAGGGGTTAGAACGGCCGTAACTCCATATGTTTCAGGGCACCCTAAAGACTTCCTCTTACCTCCCCATGCGGATGGCTTACAGCCTGCTCCAACGAGGAGCTTCCCGTTAGGACTTTGACCGTGGCTCTAAACTGATAAACCTCTCCCTGGAAACTTCCCCCGGTGAACCTCGGCATAATATTTTATTGTCTTCCAGCCTAAAGTGTATACACAGGGGTCCTTTCTGGGAAATACAGGCAGTAAATAACACCGAGCAAGGAGGGATCGCTGCACTGAGCCTGACTGGGGCGCGATGGTGGCATTCTGTACTTCTTGCTGCTGGATTGGAGGGGCACAGGGAGCTTTCTAAGGCCGCTGACCTGCAAAGCTGTCACGCAGCATTTGCACGTGATTTCAGGCGTTTCAGGATGGCCCGCTTAGGTTTTTATTTCTTGTCATTGTGGGCCTTTTTTTGTTGCTTGAGCAAGCTCTTTAAAAGCGAGGAAACCCCATGCTGCACACTGGGGTACTGGGAACCATGTGTTCCACGGTACAGAAAGATATGTTATGATTCTTATCTTCGTGAGACTGTGAGAAAATAGTCCTTTGTCCTCAAGCTCATTAAAAAGTTATTTAATAAAGAACTTGAAACCATTATCAATATTTACAAAAGGAATGCTTGAGAGCTGAGTTATGTGTTTGGAAATTCACCGAAGGCTCAGTGCATTGAAGCAGCAACAGACGTGATAGGAAGTCGAGCTGACATTTCCCAAATATAAAAACCAGATGATGGAAGGTTTAATTTCTATGACTCGGAGCAGTAGCTCGGAGCCTGCTAACCTCTCGGGAATACTTTCAGCCCGTCGGGGTGCTCAAAGAATATAAAATTCCCAGCATTTCTGGAAAGCCCATGGCAGGGGGCTGGAACTGAATGGTCAAGCCTTATTCACAGCAAAGATAAGCGAGCAGTGCTGAAGCAGGTTAGGATCAGGACCAAAAGCACTAAGCATCATATTAGGCAGGGGTAACGGCATGAGCCCTGCCCAAGCGCAGCGATGCCCTATTGCCCGTGTAGTTAGTGCAGGTACATTTCCATCTGGAGGGGCTGGAACTGGATGATCTTAAGGTCCTTTCCAACGCAAACCGTCCTGTGCGTCTATGAAACGTTCTCGTGTGGGGTCCAACTACACACCCAAGTATTCCATTAGCAAAAGCAGCTACGATGCGGATGTTCATCCACACGATGTGTGAAAAGCCTGAGCCCTTTCTGACTGCAGATCCCGAAGTGCTTTTAAACACCTGCGGGTTTGGTTTTGTTTCTGCGTGGTGCAGTTGTTACTCTGTACGTGATGCAGTGTTGATGCTGTGCTTTTTCCCCACGAGCGTACTTCAGTGCTGTCAGAGCTCTATATTTCCTACACTATAGCAGCAGCTGATTTAAAGATATTCAGGCAAAAGACAAAAAAAAAGTGTCACCATTTATTTTTCATTTTTAATCACACTCCAAGGACTTTGTATCTGTACTTTAGAGCCTTGGAAGTGGTGCAAGAGGAACGAAGAGATGGCAACAGGGTCACTGCATTCACCAGTACCGCGGCCGGAGGTGGGAGCCTAACCGCCAAGTACGTTAGTGTTCCCAGGATTTTCCAACTCGGTGAGCATTCAGTCAATATGCTGAGGCTGAGCTTTAAGCAGTAGTTGGATGAGGTCTAATCCATACATCTGGAAACAGCCTGTGTATCGCCGGGAATACATGCAGAGGGGGCCGCTCATGTGTCCCATGTGTTTGCTTTTATTTGATTTTGTATTTGGGTGGGAAAGGGAAAGAGGAAATTCCCTGACATTTTCACATGCCTTTTATTTTAAAGTGACTCTGAGAAACAAGTCAAACACTTTGTCTGTTCAAACATCTTTCCTGGGCACGGTCTTGGGCTCTCTCGTAGAAAGCACTGCATTCCCACTGCTGCAGTCAGCCTGCCAGCATCCTTGGAGGCAGATACCAAGGGCGCAGGAATAAGTTGCAGATCCAGGTCTTCCTCTCTGCCATGTCTTTGTGAACCGGTAGACAGCAAGAAACCGTCTTCTGAGTACAAAATACTCTGCTCCTGTCCCTTCCCATTGCTCTATGTTGCTGGAACAACTAGGATTGAGACAACCTCCTCCTCTGCCTCTCCACTCTGGCCCCTGTGTTTTAATGTCCGGGTTTTAATGCAAAACTGTTTAAGCCCTCTAAAAAACCCTACTACTGCTGTGAAGGATTTTATGGCCTGGCAAAACATTCGCATCAGTATCTCCTGCAGTTGTATATATAAACCTCACAGCTCCTAAAGGCTTCAAGCCGATGGAAGCACAGCAATGAACGTAAAAACGCTGGCGGTGATTAATTGGGCCGGGATTAACAAAGTGCCAGCCTGTGCTAATTGCCCTGGGAGTCAGGAGGAAAGGAATCAGCGTTTCCTCTCAGGAGGAAGGGAGCAGCTCCTCCCAGGGAAACACCGGCGCTCTGCCTCGGCAGTTTGAAGTCAAACACATGACTTTTAGTCCTTCTTGATTCAATCCTGCAGCTGCCCAAAGCCATGGGCTGTCCCAGGCTCCGGCTTTCCCCAGCTCCCCAGGACAAGCTCCAAACCCTTTGCTTTGTGTGCCATTCATGGAGAAAAGGGATGGTGCTCATGGTAAAACGCACCAGATGTCAAGCATCGATCCCAAGGCATTCAGTGACCCTCGCTGTGCATGACTGCATACTATGCTCGTGCAGCATCCTGCTTCTTGCAAATGTTACTGTGATGGTGCCTGAGCATTTTTCTCCCCGTAATGACTCCATGAAGAGAGAATCATGCTCCTGATCCTTGCCAGAACGCCTTGTTACTCGTGCCGGGCGGTTAGACCAGCACTGCTGAAGCTGTTCCTTCCCTTCTGAGCAGGCCCTCGTTTGATGTCAATTCATAAAGCTTCACAAATGAAGCCCACTCACCCCCCTGCGTTAGAGTATTAGGTGGTTGTTTGTGATGCTGGAGGGATATTGTGTGCATTGAAGTACAAACTCGAGGACAAGGCAAGGTGGTGGGATTCTAGGACAAGAGGAAACGGCCTCCAGCTGCCCCGGGGCAGGCTTAGATGGAGCTGAGGAGCAATTCCTTCCCCACAGGGTGCTCAGGCATTGGAAGAGGCTGCCCAGGGCAGGGCTGCAGTCACCGTCCCTGCAAGAGTTCACACAGCGTGGAGACGAGGCCTCAGTGCCATGGGGCAGTGGTGGCCTTGGCAGGGCTGGGGAACGGTTGGACTGGGTGGGCTTAAAGGGCTTTTCCAGCCCGGTTGATTCCATGGTTCACTGAGAGTGGGAAGCCCTGGGCTGTCTCCTGGGTGCCGCAGGGCTGGAAATAGGTCCCTTCCCATGTGCATGTGGACTTCCCAGCTGGGGTGCGACTCCTTCCAGTTCCCTTTGGGGACAGAGCCCTCTGTGAGCAGTACCAGCACCCCACCTTCTACTCTGGGGTGCTGGCAATGGGCACACGGGGCTTTTCTAATGCAATATTAATCGTCAGATGAAAGAGGGGATTTAAAAACCATTTCTTTTGTGGCCGGTACTTCAAATGACTTTACAAGTCGTATCAAGAGGATTTTAAAAGATCTTTCCTTATGAGTTGCTTTCTTTTCCAGAATAGTATCCTTGGAAATGACCCACTGGGTAAAAAGGGAGCCAGTAACAAATCCCTGTGAAAAAAAACAGCCGGTGTAATTGCCACGAATGGCCTTACCTCGAAAAGCCATCACAGCCTGCCCTGTGTCGGGGTGGCACCACGGAGAAAGCAGAACAGTTGGAACAGAGGACCGGCAGCAGTGAGATGGCACAAAGATCCCATCCAGACTGCTGCTGAGTACATTTGTCCGTGTACCGGGCTCACGTGAAGAGCTTGCAGTGTGACTGCAGGCCTGCGCCAGGTCATGATGCTACAGTTCACATCAGCGTGGTCCAGCACGACACAGCCGCCCCGCAGGAGTGAAATCGGTGGGAAGGAAAAGCCACAGAGTAAACAGCTCGCTCAGATAACCCACCCAGAAGCTCAGTGCTAAGTTCAGGCAGCTGCCTGCTCCACACTAGGTACGTGACTGCTGCTTTCCTGTGGACGCTTGCAGCCCAGCTGTGTTGGCAGGTTCTGGTTTAGTAGGTGGCAGGCAGCACCCAGGAGCTTACACTCTTAGACCAAGCGGGCTTGAGGCTTGTTGGCTGCCGCGTCACCCTCATCAGACCAAACACCTCATTTCTGAACAGCCTGCGAGAGGCGATGTGGATGGAGCCTTTGGCGCGTCCCCAGGGAAGGGTCAGCCAGGGGAGCGCACGCTGCCTGCTCTAAGCAGCTACCGGAGGAGCTCCCGGGGTGACTGCCCGCAGGCTGGTCCAGCGCAGTCGCTCCTGCAGGCATAAAGAACCAGGGGAGCCGGGCAGCAACTGGGAGGAGTGGAAAAGCACTTGAGATGCTTGGAAGCGTCTGCCCCGTCCTCCGCTTACCTCTGTCCTCACCTCTGTCGAGACGTGGGGCAGGCCCACGTGCCAGCGAGCGCTGCCGTAGGCTCGGAAGGTGCTTTCCAAGCTGCCCTCATCCTCCTGCACATGGTCCTGCTGTTTTAGTGAGTTCTCCTGAAGTTGCTCCTGACCCAGGCTAAGTACTTTTCTGTTGACATCAACTTTTGCCACGTCACTATTCACCCCCAGGGTATTAAGACAGCATTAAACAGTATCGGTCTGAGTCCTGCTCTCTCGGGCACCTCATTATTAATCTCTTTCCCTACCAGAATTGCCCATTTATTCTGTACCCATTTACAACCAGATTTTAATCCATGACAGGACTTTGCCTCGCACTTTGTGGTTACCAAGTTTCCTTAACAGTCTCTTGTATGGGTGTTTATCAAAAGGCTTCTGAATGTCCAAATGAATTACCTCCTCTGGTTGTTCTTTACCCACTATTTTATTAACTCTTAAAAGCGTAAAAGGTCTGGCTGGTTAAGATTTATTCTTCCAGCGGCTACATTACTTTTTTTCCCCCTTTGCTTGAGACTTGGTATTTCCCTGCAGATTGTAAAATATTGAGAGCAGTGACCCTCTGAATCTTGGGGCTTGAAGCAGCACCAGATGTGTTGTCAATGTTTAATTAAAAAGAGAAGGGAATGGGATATATGGCTTTCTCAGGCGTTCCTGGTAATGAAGTTAGGCTAATCATGTAAAACATCCATGAGCTCCGCTGTCTGTGTTAATGTTTACAGGGTCTTTATCGCTGCAACACCAGATTGCCACATGCATTAGTGGAGTTACCCTCCTAACACCTCTCTGGTACAGGGAAGCTTTAATCGCAACTGCCTGAAGAGCCAGGGCCATGCTGACATCTGGCACGTGAAACCCGAACTGCTGCGCTTTGAGGATCCAGGTTAGGAGATAAAACACCTTCCCCCGCTTACAGATGCCGTACTCACGCAAAACACTGCAAGAATCATCACGGCTCACAAACGGAACCCCAAAGGCGCAGCGCCCCGGTGTCTCTTCCCAAGCTCCCTAAACCCCACAGTGCATTTTCCCCTTTGGCAAAGCACAGAGCACCTCAGGTAGAGGCCAGGCTTTTCCTTCCTCTGCAGAGCGCCTGTGCTCGCAGGTTTTTGCTGGCTCTGCTAGTGACCCTTTATTTTGGACTCGCACCACACAGCCAGGGTTTCACAATGTACTTTTTTGCTCCAGCCAGGACTAATACAATTGGCTGCATCTCAGCTTTGCTTCCAAAAATACAAGGGAGTGGATTTCCGGAGAGAGAGGAAGAAACAACATCAAATGAAGAGATTTTTGTTTAAAGTAGAAAGCACTACAAAGGTTTTGCCACCTAAGAAAACTTACAAAAGGATCCAGAATGGAAGGGCCCACATCCCTGAGGAAGGAGCAGCTTTCCACCCTGCCCTGAAAGCGGACAAGCCCTTGGCAAAGCAGGGAATGACGGGGAGGCTGGACGTGGAAGAAACCCTCAGTGAAAAGGCATGCAGGACGTGGACTTGCATTTTCAAGGGCCTTCTGGCCTCCCAGCTGAGGCTGGTTTTTCCAACTAAAGCTCTCCTTCCACACAAGCAGCCAGAAGTGGTGGCCAGGAATTCAACACGTTATGAAGTCCTCGCAAGAAGGAATTAACTCCTGAGTGTCAGCGGGGAGCGATGTGAGTGCACAATGCTGCTTTGCCAGCAGAAGCTCTAAAGGAGTCCAGCTCCCACAAACGTGATTCCAGTTGCGGTTTTCAAGCGAGATCTTGAAGATACCCACACTTAAAAATGTGGAGTGGCTTTTTTTTTTTTTTTGGGGGGGGGGGGGGGGGGGGGGGGCTGGAGTCAAAATGCCTTGAGACCAAGGGTGGGATTTGCTTGAAGATGCCTGTTTGTGGGTGTCAAACCAGGGATGGCTGAGCTTAGCTTGGGGGAATGTCGACTCCATAGACCAGCAATGCCCGTGCTGCCGAGCTGAAGAGCAGAGAGGAACAGGGGCACGGGCCCTTGCGATTGCCCCTAGCTGGATCTGGGTGTAACTGCCAAAGCTCTCCTCCCCAGTGCCCGTTCCTGAACCTCAAACCTCCAGGACGGCCGTGTCTCCTGCAGCAACAAAACGATTTCCCTGAGGAGCAGTCAATACATTGCCACGATCTTAATCTTATTTAGCGCTGTAGCATGGTTTTAATTTTTCCCGTGTTTGATCCCTCAGCTTTAGGAATATTGATAGAAATAGGGACTGCGAAGATCAAATAAAGAGCAGCCCTGCTGCAGATGAGAAAAATACCCTTCAGCCCTCACTCCCTGCGCCGTGATTCAGCTTTTCCAAGCGCTCAGCCGAGATAAAGGGCTCGCATGTGAGCACAAGCGTTAGCAAGGGCTGCGATGCTTCCAGCGCAGCGTTCTGCTGCGGGGCCAGATGCCGTCTCCTCCTCAACCTCCTTTACCGGTGCGGGGAGCGTGCTCACAAAAGGCTTTTTAAGCCCGTTTCCACGCCGGCACGGGCTGTTTGCTGTCGGCCGCAGCTCGCTGTTGACTTTAACCGGTAGCTCTGTTTGTGCACCCGTGTTGGTTTTGCTGGCAGCGCTGCTCGAGGAGGCTGGAGTACCCCCTCCCCTCCTTCTGTCCCCGACCGTGCCCGGCCGAGCCGGGCCGGGCCGCCCTAATCAGTGGCAGACCCCGGGCACGGGGTAATTAGAAACATGGAAGGGGCTTTTCTGTCTCTTGCAATCTGTCTCTCGACATCAAAGCGCTCCGCGCAAGTCGTCCTGCAGAGGTCGGCTCCCATATCTAAATGAGTGATGTATTTCACGGTATCTGTCGGGAGGGATATAATGAAGGGAACCGGCTTTGCGATGGGGCGTGATGTGAAAAGCAGGTGGCCCGCTTTAACGGCTTGCGGGAGCATCTGTTCTGCAGTCCGGTTGCGTTCCCGTAACCTGCGCAAACACGGCGGGCGGGCGCGCAGCTTCCGCAGCCCGAAGAGCCGGGTCTGGGGGAAGAGGCAGAGGGGGCTGCCCGCCTGCAATCACTGCCTCCTCACGGTGACAAGCAGCGCCCGACACCCCCATTTCGCTGCAGACCCTCTCCTGCCCGTCCTGCAAGAAGAGCTGGCGCTGCCTCCGCCCGGGGAAGATGTACCCCCACCTCCCCAACACAGCACCCCCGTCCATAGCGCCCATGGGTGCGGGTGCCATGCGAGGTGCCTGGCAGCGCAAGCTTCCCACTCTCTCCGCGCTCTCCGCCGTGATTTCACCTGCGAGTTAAGGGGACCGGTGGCGTTAATACCGCAGGGTGTCTCCTGGGCAGCTTTGCCGAGGGGGACGGGACGGGACGGGACACGAGGGGCTCAGCACCGGCGCAGGGCTGGTGCATTCACATCTGCCTGCCTCACCGCGGGAAGGCAGTGCGAGTCTCCCGCCGCCCGCGCAGATATATGGGGAGTGGGGGGGGCTCCAAACAGGCAGGGCTGCAGGTGCCCCAGTATCTTTGGAAACACATGTCATACCGTTATGATCCCACTCATTTGGGAAAACTATATATATAATAAAATCTGTATTTTTTATATATAATAAAATCTATATTATATATAATAGGTAATAGATGATATATAATAGATCTAACCTGGCCCCGAACCCATCCTCCTCTACACCCGTGAAATCCTAGGGGTCGATTCGAGAAGCCTGCGTCGGAGGTGCCCTGGCACGGCTGAAAAGCGGAACGTTCCTCCGCGAAGGACGGACAGAAACGATGGGGGGGAGACACACCACGGACACACACGACACCACCCCGAATCCCCCCAAACCCCGCCGTCCCAACACACACGCACACACACACACAAAAGGGTGCAGCAGGTACAAAAGCCGCTCCCCATCACCCGCAGCGTGCCCCGTCAGTTTGATGCGGTGCTCGGCGCCGCTCCGCCGTGCTGCTGCCCGCCCCCCCGGGTGTGCGGGGCCGTGCCGTGGGCCCTCGGGAGGCGGCGGCAGGAAGCGGAGGCTGCTGGCACACACGGTCCATGTCCACGTCCCCTCCAGGGGCCGCTCCGCTCCATGTCCCCTCGGCCGGGCCCTCCCTCCGAGCCTCGCAGTCTGTCGGGGCTCCGGGAAACGCGGGCGATCGCAGCACGACGGGGGCCGAAAACGATTGATTTTTCCCTTTTTTATTCCTATACTTCCTCTCTTCAAAAAAAAAAAAAAAAAAAAGTCCTCTTTATTTTTCTCTCCCATTTTTTTTCTTCTCTTACCCTTCCCGCCCCCCCCCCCCCTTTGTCTGTCCGATGTGTATTCCCTCAGTGGCTCGTCCCTTCCCCTCGTTGGAAACGCTTTCCCGCTCCATTGTGGTGATTGTTGCCTCGCCCGACTCTTCTCTTGCCGATGGCCCTTTCTCACTGGCAGTTCCGCGGGCTGATTGTGTTTGTTAATTAGTTGCTAACAGCATCGTAATGCGGCCTTGATGGATAACCATGTCATTAGCACTCACCCCTGCAATTCACATTTCCAACCGGGCAGGGGCTACCCCATGCCGAGGCCGTGATTTGTGGCTTCAGCCTCGTGTGGGTGACACGCACCCCGAGCCGCCCCCCCCCTCCCGCACAGCTCCGCATCCCGGCTCTCCTCCGCGCCCGCGTTGTGCCGCGGTTTTCACCTCGCTTTATTTTGGAGATGGGGGAGGAGGTGGGAAAAAGGCAGCGCCCCCCCCTCCCCCCCCCCCATTTGTGTGGCTCTGTGGGTACCGGAGTGTTTGTGTTCCCTAGGGCCAAAAGCACCCCGCACGGACCGCTGCCGGCGCGGACACGCGTGCGGACCGCACCCGCGCATCTCCCGCTCCGCTCGGCGGCAGCGCCGGGGGCCGAGCCTCCGCTCCGCCCCGCCGGGGGGCTCGGCTGCGCCTGGGAGATGTAGTCCCGGCTCCAGGGCTCGCCGGCGGCCGGCGGCGGGGGACTACGTTTCCCAGGCCCCCCTGCTGCTCGCCCGGGCTGTCAATCACTGCGCGTCGGCGGGGGCAGCGAGCCGGGGATCCCCCCCGCCCTCCTCCGCGTCCCGCTAATAATAAGTGCTTCAGAGGCTTAAAAGCAGCGAGGCAAGTGTCATGCGGAGCTGCGCTGCGGCTGAGCGCCCGGCTCCGCTCTGCCGCCGGGAGGAGGAGGAGAGCTAAAGGAGGAAGATAAAACCCCCTCGGAGCTGGTTCCCGGGGCAGGGGCGAGAGGAGAGGAGCCCGAAAG